GGTGGAAGGAGTGAGATTAGGTAATCAGGTAATACCTCTCTGAGAGGTGAAGGATTATATCAAGGATGAGAGTGAGTCAGATGTATAAACAGCTGGGAGAAAATTATTTCAGTGCAACAATCCTAAGAGGATATGCTTGGATATTTTAGAAACAGAAAGTGTAATTGATGCTAATGAACTAGGGGGAAGAGGGCTGTGAGCCAAGGTGGAAGAGGTTGACAGAAGCCGGATCACCCAGGGCCTTTTAAATTTGGTGAAGAAGTTGTATTTTCTGCTATGAGTAATAAGAAGCCAGTGAATGATTTTAAGCAAAGAATAACAGAAGCAAAGCTATGTTCTGAAAGTTTACTTAGATGCTATGTAAAGAATGGATTGCAAATGCCTCAGAATAGTTGGGGCAGGGGAGTTAGAAACAAGTGGATATATTAAAGATAACTTCTGGAAGTAGGATTGATGGAAATTCTTGATGATTGTGAGGGAAAAGAATGAATGAAGGATGGTTCCTAGGTCTTGGCTTAAGTCATTAGGCAATGGTACCAATAACTAGCATATGAATGACAGAGAGAAATAGGTTTGGGAGGCAAAAGCAAGAGTTCTTTTTTGGGGTATATTAAGTTTGAAATGTATATTAGCTTTCCAAGTGGAGAGGGCAGTTGGATGTATGCCTCTGGGGCTCATGAGGGAGATCTGGGTTGGGGACACAAATTTGGGAATCATTAACATTTGGATGTATGACTCGTTTATTCGGTGAACCAGTTTGCTTTCTCCAGTCCTGGTATTGCACCTTTGTTCAGTTGCATCTCCCTTTTTCATTGCTTAATCATACGTTGGGTGGGTTCTATAACTTTCCTGCCATTTTCAGTATATTAAAGCCTGCTTAGTCCATTTTAAAATTTCCATCTTATTCCGATTTATAATAAATCTCATTTCTTCCCCTTCCTCCAGCTCTTACCAGATGTCCTCTTGAGAGACTTGGAAATGGGAAGGGTTAAGATTGACTTTTTCTCCACTTCTGCTTTGGCGTCTTTGAGAGGAGAGCATTAGTTGGCCTTGTTCTCTGAATTCTTCAAGTCCCCTAACTTTTCCCCTAGTGCTGGAGCTCAGAGAGGGAACAGGAGAGGAAGAACATGCAGCTCTTTTCTTTCTTTTTTTTTTTTCTTAAAAGATTTTTATTAGGGAATCGGGCAAGAGGAACAGATAAGTTGCTGTCCTTTGGTTCTTCAGTCTAGTTGTGGAGGATGTCGCTTCACTGTCCCATGTTGGTATTATGACCACTGCGCTCTTCCTGGCTGAGGCAGTCACTTGCTGGCCATTGGACGGCCGCTCACGGCGGCTCACGGCAGCTTATGCCGATTGCTGGCCACTCACAGTAGCTTACGGCAGCCCACTGCAGTCCCACTGCAGCCTATGCCATCGCCGGCAACTCACGGCAGCCCAGCTCCAGGTCGAGCTGTTGTTCACCATCTTAGCTGTAGAGGGTACAGTGTCACTGGCCCATGTGGGATCCGAACCGGCGGCTCTGCTGCTCAGAGCTTGTGCTCCCAAACCAACTCTTAACCAGCGAGCCACTCGGCTGGCCCCACAACTCTTTTTTTATTTGCTTCTTTGTAAGCTGAGTGAAGTGTCTGTCCTCAAATACTGGAAATTCCTTAGTGTGCAGTGTACATAGATGGTTTGATTTTTATTCATTTTGAACTTTAGTTGCCAATTATGAGCACAAAAGTCTCACTCAACCCCCTATTACAGATCTCACTTATAGGTATATAATTGGACGAGATGTCCCCCGAGATGACAGTATGGATTTGGCTACATGGAGGTTGTTGGTAGACTTAAAACTGGTCCTTACGATGGTGAAGAGGACAGAAGTTCCACGGAGTGGGTTGTGGAGCGAATGAGAGGTGAAAAAGTAAGGATGGCAAGCAACTCATTTGGAAGTCTTGTGACGAAGGCAGCAGAAAACTGGGAGGGGCATCTGGAGGGAGATGTAGGGTGAAGCTAATGTTTTTCTTGTTTGATATTTTTAAGTTAGAGGTCTTGTGACATATTTTTGTGGTGAGCCTTAGAAAAGGGGTGCTAATGCATTACATAAGGTAATAAAGAAGGCGCGGAGTCCTTGAGAAGGTGGGAGAAGAAGGGATCCAGAGCAGAAGAGGAGAGGTGAGCCGTTAGGTGGAGCAAGGGCGCTCTCGTATTGTAATAGGAGGGAAAGCAGAGATGATGGCGCTCAGTGCTGGTGGTTCTGCAGCTGTGATGATGAGAAGACATGGGACATCTCCCCAGATGGCTTCTGTTTTTCTCAGCGAGGCAGGAGAGTTGGTTAGTAGCTAATACCAGAGTAGGTAGGAAGGAAGAGTGGAAAACATCTTCTGCTACAGTACGTAAGATCTTTGAGACAAGAGGAGATTTATTTAGTTTCCTCCAAATCACACAACAAAGTGCCAGAGCTATTTATCACATATTTTTGGAATAAAATAATTTCAATGATCACAAACAGAAAAGATCCTTATCCTTAAATCTTACCTTAAATAATTATAGCTGTTCAGAAAATGATGTGTTTTTTAAAGCCCTAACCTGAAATTGCCAATATTTTGAGGTATCCTGTATAGACTAAAATGGACTTATAGTTCACACAGAAGCTATATTCATTCTTTAAGGTATTTTAATGAAAAGAAGAAACTGTATTCCATTCTGATTAAAGAACTGATTGTACCCTGGAGGGCTTATTTTCCAAGGGGGGGTGCTCCAAGGGATAGAATTATTTTCTTTGTGGAGGCCTCCCTCCTGTGCCTCTGATCTTCTAGCTGGCTCCTAACACAGGGTTCCGTATCAAGGGGCTTCTTAGTGCATGTGGCTGAGTGACTTTGCCTGGGGACAGCCCTGAGACCTAGAGCCAAAGACACACTTTTGATTACCTCAGGAGGATTGCTACAATGGTCCTGATTTATCCTCTCTCCTTTCTCCTTTTTTTCAGCTCTTCTATCCCTTACCTTTGTTTGCTTGCAAGAGGAATGTGAGCCAACATTTAAAGTCTGAAAAGTATAAAGAAAGTAAACAAGTAAATAGGGAAGGAGAATAAATACTGAACAAGACTGGGCAAGGTGACAAAAAGGAATTAAAATCTGGAAGGCAGCCAGGGTGCAAAATGCAGTGGCTGTGTAGTTTACAGGAACTATTTAGTGTTCAGCATGCTTCAGTGATCACCCAGAGAAAGCCAGAGTTTTCCGGTTTTGTTTGCTACCCTATAGTTAGCTATAGAAGCTTGACATAGGTGATCTGTGTTTCCTGTCAGCCAACCGATATAAATACACAAGGCTGGGGCCTCTGCTCTTCAAATCCTACGTGATTTGAATTACTAGGAGGAGGACCTCTTGTGGCCATAGTGGGAAATACTTCAACTAAAACCTATCTCGAAGGCTGCAGACATTTTAATGAAGGAATTAGAAAAACACCTCCATAGAGCTCTTTAAAATTACATCTCAGGTATTTATAATATTTAGTTGTTTTGATAACACCAGTACCATAATTGCATCTGTATTGCATCTCTTCGGAGTTCAGTGTAATTTGAAGCACTTCAGATATTATCTACTTAATTCACATACCCCCAGAACAGGGGTTTTCACCTCCATTTGCAGATGGAAAGGAGAGGTACAGAGCAGGTAAGTCACTTATTTGTGATTTTACAGTGGAGGCAGTCTGGCTCGTCATAGCATTTGTGTATCTTGGCCCAATTGAATATCTGGGATTGGAAAACATTCATAATGAAAGCTCTAAAACAAAAACTTCTATTTTGCAAGTGTCAAGTGAACTCTTTATTCAAGAAAAGATGGATTGAGAGACATAAAACTTACTCTTTGTTTTCACTGTGAAAAGAGGCTATTCCTAGATTCTCCAGAGGGGAAAAGCTGCTTTAAAAATATCTGGAAGGACAGTATGTTAGCAACTAAGAATCTTTAGATAAATATAATGCCAGTTAGGCATATTTTAAAGGAAGCTACATAAAAATAGTTATTTTGCTGATTTCCCTAGAAATCATATAAAATGAAACCCCTTTCTTAGTTGATTCCCTCGGACAGTCTCCAGACCCTGCCTTTCCTCTCAGCTTCCTAATATTTGTTCTAAGAGTGCCTGTGGAGCTAATAAATAAATGCCTTCTTTTTATTTTGAATTCAGCCTTTTAAGAACAAAATGCCAAAACTCAAATGAGTAGGCCTATTTTAGGGGCAGTTACCACCTATTGTTTGAAAAGCTGTTGGAAGAGGGTCACAAAAGTGCTAATGTCTAAAGAAATGCAGTACAAGTTCAAGTGGGGTGTCAAAGACCTGATGAAATGACAAAGCATAAGGCAGGGACATGCCAGACTGCTCCAGTGAATGCTAAGATGTTCAGGGAGAGGATGTTAAAAAAAAAAAAAAAAGGAAGAGGAAATATGAAAACAAATAGAAATTTTGTTGGAGAAGGCTGTTTTTTGGTAACTTTAATAATGGTTTCACCTGTGGAGTTTTGGGTAAATTTTCACTTTATGTACTTTACTGATAATTATGTGGTTCTACATAAATTCTGGAAGCAGAGTGTGTAGGGGCTGGTGCAAGCGTATGAGACAGGTAAGATTTAAGAGGAAAAACACACCAGATGTGGCACATTATCCTATGGCACTGAAGACCCTGAATTTTACATAATTTATCTTTTGATGGTGGATTTCCTGGACTCCTATCACCTCTGCTTTATTATGTTTCACTTTCCATAATTCCAGTCTTCAGCTTTAATTAGATGTGAAGGGTCCTTATTTTGGAAAGAGACCAGAGAAATGCAAATCTAACTTACTCAAAGCTTCCTGACAGCTATGTTTGTAGATCTCTAGGCAAAGTATGTGTCTGGCCTTTTTCAATGAAGTATTTTCAGTAACAAGTTGTCAGTGAGGTCAGTGACTAGCCGTTCAGGATTAGATACCACCCACCCTGGTTTGTAACCTCCCCTTTCTTTCTTATCCCGGGTGAATGACACTCAGCTAAAGTGACTGCCCCACTGTCACTGCCTCTTACTTAATTTGTTGCTCTGTAACTCTGTGACTAACCAAGAAGTCGTCTTCTTTTTTTTTTTTTTTTTTTCCCCCCAAAGCTCTTTTTGGATAATTTCTTACAAGAGCCGACTTTTAAACACATTTACTTTATAAGAAGCAACAGAAAGGTAAGAGTCAAGTTTGTAAAGAGGAGAGCTGGACTTCAGTGCACGCTTGTTGCTGCGTGGAATTGCTCTGCCTTAGTTATATATTGTGGGTTTAAAGTGTGGGCTTGCCTTCTGAATTAAAGACCACCACATTATTATATAAAACGGGAAAGTTTTCAGTGGTTATGATGAGAAATGTAGGCTTTCACGCTCATTTTAAAGTTATAAATAACTTTGAAACTAGTGCCAGGAGAAGCCAGTAGCCAATGTCGTGCTTTGCATTTAGTTTCTGGCTATAAAAAGCGATGCGATAGAGCTGGAAAAGATAAGATACGGCCTGGATGCTTCTGCTTTGGCATGGAGCTGGGGCAGAAGGAAGCCAGGATAGAACATGTTTGAAGGGATTTTACTTTCAATCAAAAGCTTGTTCACAGTAAATGGAAGCTTTCCTAGCTGAGATAGTGGCAAGTCATTCATTTTTGAATTTAATGGTTATCTTATATATTTGTTTTGTAATAGGCAGAAATATCAGGAGGTTAAGGAATCTCTCAGAACTGTTTTACCACCATGTATAGTCAAATGAAAATCCCACTGTATGGGAGGAATTTGGGATAATCATAATGTAAAGAGAAGGTCACTGTTTCTTGGGGTCTGTGAGCAGAGACTGTGAGCAGTTGCTCTCAGTTGTATTGAGGACAGAATGGAAGGAATGAGTTCAAATGGAAACAAGAAGAAATTTAGGGCAGGCGTCAGGAAGTTCATGGACTGTAGAGGTTTGGGGTCACGGATATACACCACTAGGAAAGACTGTTTCGATGTTTCTGAAGATACGTGAGACCCAATGATTTGCTTAAATTACAGAAGTGGGAAAATAGGGTTTCAAATTAGCTTTGGTTCTGAGTTACAGCTAGCTTATTTGGATAAACTGAAAAGTCAACATGTTGACGATACTATGATTTGGAGGCATGAATTATCAACAGTCAAAGTTGAATGACATATTTGGATTAAAATTTTATTACCTACTGTAAAAAATTAACTCAGTAGTTGCACAGTACAAATTTGTTAAATGGATAAACCCAAAATACAGACAGTACAGACATATCTATTTCCATTTGTTACCTCCTATACATAGTCTGTATTCCTTCTTATTTGAGTAAAATATTGGAATTTTTATAGTAAAACACTTTTGTTTCATCATAAAAGTAACATGAGTTCCTTGTATGAATTTTGAAAGCACAGGGAAAATTTTTCTGTAATCTCATGGATGTAGTTCCTTCTAGTCTTTTTTTCTCTGCATGGCTTTTTAAAATGAATTGCAATAATACTGTAGATAAAAATTTGGAACCTTGCTTTTTCATTTAACCTTATACCAAATATTTTCCATATAACATCTATTCTACATAGATGTTATTTTAAATTGCTGTGTAACAGTCTTCCAAGTAAATGGATATAATTTTATTAATCATTATTGAACATCTGTGCTGTGGTAAATATGTGTGTGTGTCTGTGTGTGTTTGTTTGTTTATTTATTTATTTATTTAAAATATCATTTCTTTAAGCTCTGTTCTTAAGCCTGCACTTGGATTAGAGAGCATTAGAGTCGAAGACAAAGGTTGTGATTTTTAAGATTTTTTTTTTTTTACTGTTTTTCTTTTAAGGCATTGTAAAAGTCTTTGTCTACCAAAAGAAATATTTATTGAGTGTCTCTGATATGCAAAACATTGTTATCAGGCACAGGCACATAGATAGCAATGTACTAAGTGTTTGGAAGGACAGAATCCCCGCTATTTACATAATTTCGACTTACCGACTTTAGATAATAAGGCTACATGTCAGAGTTGAAAAGGCTTCAGCTCTGCCTGAGACCAACAGATAGTATTATTGACTATTTATATTACTTTGGACTTCAAAACAATAGCATTTATAAATAAGCTTTGTTAGAGCACTGTCTATACATAGTTCTGATTTATATGAATTTTATGATGCAACTGTGACAAAGAAGTAGCGAAATTAGGAAGGATAATACTTTAGTTATAATAAAACTTAGGGAGAAATTGGGAGTATTTGGAGAAAACCTGTAGGTAGCACAGTGGAAAGGAAGGACAGAGGGCACACACGAGAGCATGGCTAGAGTGGGAGTCAGGAAAGATAGGAAGGTTTCATTTTGTTATTGTTGAATTTGGGAGCCATGGTTGTAGAAATAGAATAGATTGAAGGAAAAAAGCTAAGAAATTCATGACCCATAAAGCTATTTGATTTTGGGAGGTACAGGCTGGATTTTTGGAGGTGGTGGTTGGTCCACAAAAATCAAAGTGGAGAAAGTAGAGATATCAGTATTATTTGGTGGAGGTGAGTTGAGGTATAGGGTTGTGAATTCTTAAAGAATATATTCTGTCTGTATTCATTTTATTTTAAATAGAGGAGTTTTATTTTTCAGTGATATTTAGAGGACAACCATAGCTATGGAAGGATGAAAGTTCTCTTTGCTATTCACTATGAACTTCTGTTTGCATGTTTCTGTTTTTTTCCTTTGGAATAGAAGGGATTAATATTTAAGGAGAGAAGCTGGCAGCCCCATCTTGCCTGAAGAGAAACTATTTGCTTCGTAATGAAGACTTAAAAATAGTGTTTATTTATGGATCATTGGCTCATGGGAATGTTAGTCTAGAGACTCAAAAAGCATGATTTTGTGATTTTTGTTTGGATACTGGATTTTAAGTGACATGGTACTGTGGGGGTGGAACTCCTGAGTTTAGCCAAATTGTAAATCTAATGGAAAGTGACAGATAATTGAGGCTACAGAATTTTTGAAAGTGAACAGGACTGTTAGCTGTTGCACCTGATTTTCACATGCTTAATTACTCTTTTTAACTACATTATTGCTGCCTGGGACACAGCCAGTAATCTGCTACCAATTTAATCACTAACTTCCAGGGTCTGAGAAGTGACTTTGAGTTCCGATGTGCAAAATTATAAATTTAGGTCATATTTGTTTGGCACCCACACCTCTTTTTCCTGCCTTTTATTATCCTAACCAGCACACTTGTGATGCTTCAGGTCCCTTCATCAATGGGGAAATAGATTTGATGGAGGGAGCAATGTTTAGCACAAAGAAAGACCCTCACATAGTGGAACTTGAACACTTTAGGCCTCAATTTATATTAGCACTGTTCAAAATGTGATCAGCAGTTCTCAATCTGTTACTGGTCCATGAAAGGAGGTAAGGAGTTTGTGCCAGAATGTAAATCATCTATGCTCTAAGACTTTGTAGCAAGACTTTCTAGATGAATGAAACAGTCATTGGTTTACATTTTGGTGCAAGCTCCTTATCTCATTGCAGACATGTACTTTGAGTAGCATTACTTAAATTACACTAAATGGCATGTATCTCCTTTATTCTATAGGCATTATGGGGGAGAGAATTGGGATGGCGGTGTGCAATTAGGAGATAATAAATGAATTACCAGGTCTCAGTTGGTAAGGTTATGGAGGTGGTGTCAATGCAAAATGGCCTTGGGTTAGCTCACTGAGAACCCACAGAAGGACTGAGAAGCAGGATAGCTGAAAGGACTCCATTTGGTCTACTCTAGAGCTGGCTTTTGAATTACTCATTCTAGATGACTTTTGTACCAGACATTATTCTTAGTGCTGGGGATAGACACTAGTAAACCAAATAAAGGCCCTGACCTCATGGCGTTTCCTTTCGTGTGTGTGTGTGTGTGTGTGTGTGTGTGTGTGTGTGTGTGTGTTTGAGGGTGGGGGTGAAGGGAGAGTAAGAAATAAAACTGACTTCTCTGTGGTTCTCTGGAAGAGGTACGAGAATCTGCCTTAGTCTGGGCTGGATCTCACAGGTCATGTTCTTATGGGAATTTGCTGGATTAACTTGCTTTTTCTGTGAGACTCACCAGGTTCAGTATGGGATAGCAAAGGAATCCTAGTTTTAAGAATAATCTGTGATAGGCACTGCTGGTTGCCCATGCAATACCCATACATTTTGTTCTTCTTGTTAAGTTATAGAACCCTGATTTAGGTCAAGAAAATAAAGGCATAATGGACATAGAATTGCTGGGTCAAAAGGAATGTTCGTTTTAACATTTAATAAGTATTGCCTTTAATTGGAAATATCAATTAAAGGGTTAAAGACTATATCTAATTTAAAATTTGAGAGCTATTGTCATATATCTCCTCAAGAAGTTTATATCAGTTTGTATTCCCACTAGAGTGTATGCTGAGATCTTATGTCTCCAACTCTTAGCACAGATGATACTCTATCAAAATTTTTCACTTTTGACAGTTGGATAGGTGAAGATATCTTATTCTTTAGATTTGCATTTAATTAATTATGAATGAGGTTGAGCTATTTTAAAATATTGATTAGCCCATTGTATTTATTTTTTTAGATTTTTATTGGGGGAGTTGGGGGATGGGAACAGCACTGGGGAATAAGGGGAAGGGGAACAGACAAATTGCTGTCCTTTTGTTCATTAGTCTAGTTGTGGAGGACGTTGCTTCACTGGCTCAAGTTGGCACCATCATTGCGCTCTTCCCGGGCGAGGCAGATCTGTCTCTGGCTTCTGGACGGCTGCTTACTGCAGCTACTGGCCGCTCACGCTGGCTGCTGGCTACACACAGTAGCCCATGGCAACCCACTGCAGCAGGGGCTGCAGCCTACGCCATCGCTGGCGACTCAAGGCAGCTGAGCTCCAGGTTGAGCTGTTGTTGAGCATCTTAGCTGTAGAGGGCAGTGTCACTGGCCCTCATATGTGGGATCCGAACCGGGGCCCTCTGGCATCCCAAGTCAGCTCTTAACCACCATACCACTTGGCTGGCCCCCATTGAATTTCTTGTTACTTAACTTGCCTTGCCTTTTTGTATCCTTTGTCCATATTTTCTGTTTATCTCCCCACACTAAATTAAGCAAATTAACTTTTTGGCTGTTTAATGTGTTGCAAGTATTTTCCCCCAATTTGTTGTTTATTTTTTGACTTTTATATTTTAAAAATATTTTTGTACTCAAATTT